TTTCTCTGTAACTCAAAAATCCCATTCGGTACGTCCATGTCTTTCCGCCATGGAAATGATGCCATTTGTTAATTCATCATCAATGTAATTTGCACCTTTTCGTTTCTAGGGTTACCTTTCCTTATCCTCTCCTTCTCTATAAACCCTTCTCCCCAATTCGCCCTCCAGTTTCTCAATTCCAAATTAGGGTTTCTAATCGCGACTCTGCTCCACTTCTCGTGAAGTTTAGCATCAGCCAATTTTAAAGGTACGAAATTTCTCCCAATTTAGTATCAGATTTTGATAATTTGATCTTCAACTTCTTCTGAATCTCTTGAATTTGTGTTTAGGCTTCGTCTGGTTTCGAGCACAATTGTTGTTTAAGATCAATCAAAAGAGCTAAAGATTACTCCTTGTTAGTGGGTTTCTGTAATGGACGACGGTGAGCTTGAGTCCTCGAACCAGGAAGCTTTTTCGAATTCGAATATGCCTGAGTTTCCTCCTAGCAACTGTTCGATGGATTCTTTCTTCGATGAGCTTCTTAGGGATTCTCATGCTTGTACTCACACTCACACTTGTAACCCTCCTGGACCAGAGAACACACATACTCACACTTGTCTCCATGTGCACACCAAGATTCTTCCTGCGCAGAGCGACGACAAAGTTTCCACCGATGACACATCGGAATCTTCAGGGAAGAAGAGTAAGAAGAGACCTTTGGGGAATAGAGAAGCGGTTAGAAAGTATAGAGAGAAGAAGAAAGCTAAAGCTGCTTCGTTGGAGGACGAAGTCATAAGGCTTAGGGCGGTGAATAATCAGCTGTTGAAGAGGTTGCAAGGTCAAGCTGTGTTGGAAGCTGAGGTTACGAGGCTCAAGTGTTTGCTTGTTGATATAAGAGGAAGAATCGAAGGAGAGATTGGTGCATTCCCTTATCAAAAACATGCGGTTACAAACCCACCCTTCTCATTTACGATGCATCCGTGCAATATGCCATGCGATGTTGACAACTTGTACTGCCTTCAAAATGGGAACAGCGGAGCAGGTACATCGATGAATGAGCAAGGGCTAAATGGTTGTGAGTTTGACCAACTAGAATGCTTTGGTAATCAGAATTTAGCTAGCAAGGAGATCCCTGTCTGTAGTAATGGAAATGGAACATTCAATGTCAATGCATCCATCGCTAATAAGAGAAAAGGTAAGTTCTAATCCCTTTTCGATCTCTTAGTTATATTGTTTCTGTTAGATGTCTAGTACAGCTATATCGTTATACGATTTTCTCGCCTTCTTACTTACCTCCATATGTTCTGTTGTTTACTTACCCTGAAATTAGTCGATAGTTGCCTTAGACACTGAAGCCAAGCTGTTATTTTTTCTGGGCTTTTGTCATTTCTAAGGCTCTTTTAACTTCTGCTTTGCGTACATTTAGTTTAGGAACTCATGGTGTTTGCTCTTGCAACAGGTGGGATTCGTGCGGCGAAAGCAAATTGAAGCATCAAGGATAGTTTATTTTCTTCCAATAAGTAGTAAAGTTCAACTGCATCACCAGTTTCCCCTAAGTCCCTTTGTGCTATTATCATTTTTTAATCTCTTTTTTTTTTTAATGTCATTGCATTTCGCTGTTGAGCTCGTTGAAGCTAGAAGCAAAACTTGTTAATATTCAATTCAAATTTGCTTGTGTGTCTTGCGACTTGGTTTTTGAAGAAGTTGAATGTTGCTTTCAGACCAAAATCACTTATACCATGCATCAATTCGCAACACTATGATCACTGAAGTGGGATCTCTAGGGTCTAATTTTAGTGGCAAAATCCGATTTGGGAAGAGAGTTTAAAGGGAAATCATCAATTTGAAACAAGACGCATTAACAAACAGAAGTGGTTGAAGTTAGTCCTAACAGACACAAAGTTTGTTTGAAATTGGCTGACATACAAAGGTGCATGAGCAGCATGAGATAACTCAGGTAGTTAGAGACCAAATCCTTTCATCATTTAATTGGTCATTGGTGTATCTTGTTTGCCATCCTCATCGATCTCAGCATCATCTTCGTCACGATAGATGCTTTCCGCCATTTGCCACACCTGAAGACTGTTGTCTTCCGCTACACTTGCAAGGACCCAAGGCTCGTTTTTGTTCCAAGCAAAGTCCGATATCTTCGCCTTGTGGCCTCCATGAGAGAAGAGTAACTCTGGTGGACCATCTTCTGCATCCAACTCTATCTCAAGCTGCTCTTCTCCAACCCTGTAAAAAAACCCCAAACAATAAGCGTTACCATGTTGAACAATGTTCAGATTATAAAGTCAAGTTTTGATGTTCCGCAAAGGAGACTGATGGTACCTGTTCAGGTCCCAGACCATAAGCCTTCTGTCTTCACCTGAAGATGCAAGCACTGTTTCATGGTTTGGATCCCACTCAACTTGGAAAACCTCTCCCCTGTAATCAAAATCTTCAATTAAAATGGTGGATTTTACAGCAAACAGTCATTTGGTTCTGACACAGTATATGGATGGCAAGGAAGATGTGAGTAAAATGTAAAGGAATGTACTCGTGGCTGCTCAAGACGTGCAATGGCGCATTCAGCTTCCGAAGGTCAAACAAGGCAACGGTGGAGTCTGAGGAAGCTGTGGATAAAACCCATTCGTTGAACGGATTGAAAGATAGATAGTTCACCTGACAAACAGAAGAAAGTATGGTCATACAGAATTCAGCCTTAGAGGCTCATGTTAGCAAGGTTGAAATATGTGAATGATAGATTGTGTTTGCAATTTAGTATCTGATCAGTGATTTCTGGTTACGCATAAATACAGGAGATGCGGGCTTGCGATATCAAACCTTAGTCATTTACTTTTAACATCGTTTTAAATGTGCAGAAGATGTTTCTACCTCTTTTTCATGAACTTTCACTTGGTGTTGAATTTGGTTTGTCCGTGTGTCCCATATCACCAATCGACCATCATCACCCGCAGACCCAAACAGGTTCTCGTTCTTCATGTGCCATGATACATCTTCAATAACACTCTCATGTCCCTATAACCATACCAAGAGAGTATAATCAGAAGCAGCAAACGTCATCTTCTGGAAACAGGAGAAAAACATAAACACACTTACCTCAAACACAAACATTGCATTTAGAACTTTATCTTGTGGTGTAGCTGAAACATCCCAAAGACAGATCTTCTGATCCTGTGAACCACTCAGTAGATAACCTTCCTTGAAAGGGCTCCAAGACAATCCATACCCTTCCTTATCGTGTCCCACCAGCCTCAGATCAGGATCACAATCACTTGTTTGAGGCTTTGCAGCATGTTTGGCGTAATCAAACAGAAAAACTTCACATCCACTTGTCTTTGCACCAACAAGCGTCGGCTTTTGAGGCATACACCGAGCTCTATTCACTTCTCCATCAACACGAATCTTCTGCCTAATCTCCACCTACAACAAAACGGATAATTAAATTAACTTTCTTTAGCCTAGACCATACATTCTTATGCGTCAAATGAAGTTAAAAAATCTAAATGTCATATCTTATCAATTGCATTTCCCGAAGACTAAATACTTTCAGCTAGTAATTTTATCGAACACATGGTGCGCGTATAACGCGAGCTACGAAGATCGCCAAAAAAGGATATACCACCATGAGTTAAATACCTTAGGGACTATGGGATCCTGATTTCTGCCGCCTAAACCAGGTTCAGCGTCGGGATTTGGGATAACGGCGTCGGCGACCATGAGGAAATCTTGAGCACCACCGGAAGTGTGAGTCCCGAGTATAAGCTTGTGGACGCCGAAGTTAGGATCCGCCGCGTAAGGACTCGTCGTCGATGGGACCCAATGGACGGTGAGAGACGGCCATTCGAGTGGGTGAGAGATCATAAGATCGTAGAGAAATGGTGTGTTCTTCTTCCACACAGAGAAATCCTCCTCCACCTGATCCGTTACTGCCTCATCTTTACCTTCATCTGCCA